GATACCAGGATTGAACTCAGGACCTTGCACTTGCCAGGCAGGCATGGCACCACTGAGCTACATCCTGGACCCCTCGTATCTTAGATCTCAGCTTAAATGGCACACTTTAGAAAGGCCTTTCCTGATCACTCAATATACAGTGATATTGTTACATCTCATTATTTCCCAACATGTAAATTGAATGTGGACTTGGGGAAAAGATGAGCTCTCTAAATCTCAGTAGCTTTATCAATGATTAATGGTCCCTTGCCTTCTTTCAGTGGGCTAAGTTTTTGTGAGAACCAAATAAGCTAGGATTTCTACACCAATTGATTAGATTTTTATTATTGGCTGACTATTGTTTTTATTTTTTTCCTCTGGGACAGAGGAATGTATTTTCCCATTTTATTTTTCAAATTTCCTTTATCTACTTGCATTATAAGACAGCTTTCTTCATTTTTTTCACTTTTATGTATTCACTAGACTTTGTTGCCTTGTACATGTCTTAGAGGATTTATTTTGAATTAAATCTATGATTCTGTGTATGAAAAACATTCAATTGGGAGCAAGGTTAGTAAGGTTTTTTCCAAATGTAAAATGACATGTGGTTTTGGGTCATAACTAATCATAGTGTCTCTTTGAAGCTGGGAGATGATATGTGTTTTTTAAGAAGCTTGTTATATGCACAAAGGAACAAATACCCAAGGATCAAAGCAAACTTTTAATAATGCTCAATTGGAGTTCTGGTCATGTTTGCGCCATTCAGAGTCTAATCAGTAAAACCCCCTGAGTCAATAATTGCCTTCTCCTCGAATCATGGCAGGTATCTATTATGCTGCACATTAACCACATGGAAATGAACATATGGTTATTGAACACATAACAAAACAGACTCTGTTGGAGAATGTTTCCTTTAGGATACCTTAAAACATTCTTGAGCAGAACATTATGTCGGCTACTTCCTAGCCCCTTCTGTTCCTGGGCTCATAGGAGGGAAGTTGCTAGTCCCTTGCATTAGGAGCAGTAAATGAGCACACTATAAGAAGTTAGAAACCTTAGAATTTATTTACTCATTCAGAAAGGACCATGAGTATCTTCCAACATGAAAACAAAACAATAGATGGAGTTTCTTAAAATTTCAAGACATATGTTTTCATTCAGAAAAAGGAGGGAGGAAGTGTTTAAAAGAGAGGAATCATATACTAAAGCAAAACCTAGATTAACTTGAATCTGGTTAGTTTTTGCTGTGAACTAACAGGATTTTCTGAGTTTATAGTAAACAAGAAATTGATGATCCAGAGTATATGTAAGAAGTCCTTATTTGAGTGAAATAATTCAAATTATAACACTTTAACAGCTATGTTCAAAAGGAAGTTTTCAAATTAACCATGCTTATTTCCTAAACATTCTGTAAAATTGCAATATAAATTTAATAACTAATTTTATTTATATGTATGGCACGTACACACATTCATGTATACACACAAACACACACACACACACACATATGGAAAGTATTTTGGCCAAGACTCTAAATTGATAAATATAGATATTAAAGAGACTGGTGAGACTGATTATCCTGCAGGACTCACAAAAACAGACTGGGACTCAGGTGGCTGATTCTTGACCCTCCTCACACCTTGAGGATACAAAGAGTTTAAGAGTAGAGACTGAAGGTGTATGAAGAGAACTGTTGGTGTGCTGTGGGTTCCCTTTATCTCTCCCAGAAAGAGGGTCACAGGATGCTCCTGTTCCTAATCTTGAGCCTCATGGGAGAAGTTTGAATGGGGCCACTTGAAAAGCAGGATCTGTGTGTTGTGTAAGTGGGGGATGTGGACTGACTTCTATCTGAGAAATGGCGGCAAGGAGACAGCTGCCAGCAGAGAGAGGGGAAGGCTTTGAGTGACCTAAGTCCTGAAGTTGGTGGGTAGAGAAGTTCCCAGGAACTGAATATTGGCCATGTACCGCCCCCCCCCCCCCCCCCCCCACATGGGATTGGGGGAAGATTGACTGATTTCTCTTAGATCTTTCCCAACAGAATCCTTGGAGGAATCATCAGCCTGTAGCACAGGGAACTGCAGATATGGCTGGATTCCTAGGGCTGCATCTATGTACCACAAAAGAGAAACTTGAACTTCACATTGATTTAGTTTTCTTTTTATATTTTGAGACAGTGCTTGAATGTGTGATCCTCCTGCCTCCATCGACTGAGTGCTGGGTTTACAGGAGTGTACCACCATACCTAGTGATGAATTTCCCATTGAGAATAAAGTTTTTTTTTTTTTTAATGGTACTAGGAATCAAACACAGAAATTCACACTTGCCAGGCAGATGCTGTGCCACTGAGCTACATTCCTGGCCCCTGAGAATAAAGTTTTGATTATCATTTTGCATAGACATGTTAAATACAGACTTAATCATTTTTTAGGTGTGTAAAGTGACCACAGGATTGACAGATACCTAAGAGAGGTTAGAATAGTCATGGCACCCATTTGAGTTTCCATCTGGGGGCTGAGGAAGAGGCAGTGGTTGCATATATGTGTCCAAAGCACAGATGAACTTCTGGAAGGTTAAACACCCACCTCTTCCCAGGGGTCACCTCTTGGAGGTGGAATTGGAAATATAGAAAATGGGGCTACCTATATATTTGACTATGGGTATTTCCACTCCAAAGTGGTAGTGTTTCAATTAATTTTACCTTTTAAAAATTTGCTTTTTCAAATTCTAACAAATGTTCAGTTCTGATGCATATATACTTATTCAAATACACACACACACTGGTGCACACATGGTGTGTGTTTGATTTCAGGAGAGGCTGTATTACCAGCATGTGTAATGGCCACTGAAGACATCATTTATTTTAAAAATTGGCATGTGCAGAGCTGAAATTTCCAAGACTGTCCTGGATTAGTGACCTCTGCTCAGGGAAGCCCTCCAATGTCTGTGTGATTCCCTGGCTTGTGCCTGAAGGAAACTGTTGGGTTGTGCTAGCAAGTGAATGGAGCCCTCTGCAGAGAGTGCTATAAAGACTTTGATTATTCTACCTGTGCATCCATCTATGGAGCTGCATCTCCTTTGGGAAATGCTTGAAATGGGATTTTCGTGAACTCATCTCCCATCTTACTTTCCTTCCCCCTCCTTTCCCCATCCTTACCCAGGTATCTATCAGTCAGCCCTTTTGATAACACTGCTCCACTGCATCAAAAGTGCAGTTTAATGTAGGAGATGCACTTCAGGCCTAACATGAGGTCATTTTCTGAGTAACATTTTATGGGATTGATTAAACTTTAGCACCATCACTGTTGACTTTACAGTCCAGAAAAGAGACTGGGAGTGTTAAGCACTTGGGATAATTTGTGCCTCACAGATTTGAAAAATGAAACAGAGATGAGGGTTTAATGTGCTTGGAAAAAGAAGCTGTCATCTATTTTTGAGTCTTCTATATTTAAGACCTCTGCATTTAAAATGAAATAATATCTTTTACACTAATAAAGTTAAGGTATAGTAAATAACTGTATATATAAAAGAAGCTGGACTTTTTAATTACAGGGTGACCATAAAGATTTAAATTGTCTTCTCCATTGCTCCAGACCTAAGTACTCACTTTCTCCCCCATTTTTGACTTAGGGCCTAGCTATGTAGGTCAGGCTGGCCTGGAACTCACTATGTACCCCAGGCTGGCTTCAAACTTGGAGTGATCCTCCTGCCTCAGCCTCCCAAGTGCTGGGATTACCAGTGTGTGCCACCAGGCTCGGCTTTCTCCCTTTTGCTATTAGAAAATGGAAGTTATTTGCTCTTAGAGGAGTTCTCAAGGTTCTGAGATGATATGTGGCTAAACTGTTTATTAGAGAAACTAAATTTGCTCTAAAAATAATTATTCCCCATCTGATTAAGGTGTTGGAAATCCACTGACTTTACCTGCACACAAATTCATGCCCCCAGAGTGGGGAGTCACCCTGTCACTTAGTCTACAGTGGTCCCTTGGTGTGGTTTATGATTAGCAGAGACATGTCGTGGGAAGAAAAAACCCCAAAAAACCTGAGCTAGGAAAAAGAATGACTGTGAATTCCTTGGGTTGGGCAGCTCACAGTGTCAGAGGTGAGCCAGGACTCTGCTCCACAGACTCACCCTCCTTCTGGGCTCTGCACAGGGAAGGCTGGTGCTGAAGGGCAGTGAGGCTGTGACACTCTGGAGGTCGTGCATGTGGTCACTGGTTGGCTTCAAGGTCACACAGAAGCAGAGCTTTGGCCACCGCCTTGCTGTGGAGCAGCCATGGGCCTGCTACCCTTGGAGAGCTGGCAGGATCAACAAGCTCGGCTCTCAGAGTCCTGCGTGCACACAAACATCCATAGATTCAGTTAAACTGTGGACCCCTCCACTGCTTATTGATGTTGTCAGTCTTTTGTGAAAGTTCAAGTTCTAACTCCAGCTGGTTGTCTCCAAACATGTACTGGTGAGAGGAAAATAAATGGGAGTATGAGGCATACTGGGAGAGCAGACACCTACCGGCAGCAAGCTGCTAACATCTTTTACTTATGTGGGTATGTGTGTGCATGCAAGCATGTGTGTGTATTGTCCTCAGTATCCATGGGGTTTGGCTGCAGGATACCAAAATCCACAGGTTTAGGTCTCTTAAGGTGGCCCTCCAAATCCACACGGGA